AAGAGCGTCAAAGAATCTGTCAACAGTTAAACCGCCATTGATGACCTCTCTGTTGCTCTGCAGAGAAGAACCCTCCTTAGGTAAACTCGATATCTGCCCCTCGAGCTTCACCGAGAATGTCCTGAACAGGTCATACCTCTGGTCCTGATCGCGAAGGTTCTGGAAGTTTCTAGAGCGATCTTGATCGAGAAACACCGACCCTCTTGGCATAGATTTGGAATGAAACTTCATTCTCGAGTTCTTCATCATCGATCTTCTGCTGTTCTTTTCCGTAAAGGAATGATCAAAGCCTCTGAATCTTGAAACTTCTCCTCCTTTGGTGCTGCAAGTTGCCTGATTTTTGTTGTTTTCAATATCTGGATTTGTTGGAGAAATAGATGGACTGTTCATTTTGATTATCTGTCTCCTGATGATTTAGCGATAAAATAATGTTAACAATACGATATATATAATATAAACCCTAATCATGTGAAAACTCTCCTAAGAATCTAAACAAATATAAGAACCTCAAGCAGCATATAAAATCACGTTTTCACTTGTACATATATATATATATATATTGACTTGTTCGGATATACATACATACATATATATATATATATACATATATAAGTCGAATCTATATATGCATATGGAAAATTCACAGAGGAAACTCCTGGAAAATGTTTGATACAGCCATTTTAAGACATGTATCTATGTAACTTACAGAAACTCTGGGACTGAAGTGTGCTGGATGATTTTGAACTGAAATGGATTTTTTCTCTTTTCATAAAAAAAAAAGAGAAAATTATTTTTCGGAGAATGATATGGTAGTTATCTGCTTCTTTGGAGCAAATGGGGCTTTCCTTTTATGTAAAAACAGTAGGAGATGAGCGACAGAACACTGACTAAAGTCAAAGTTACCATCAAGTCTCTGTCTCTGTCTCAAACCCGCAGTTCAGATTTGACCACCGAGTCGCCCCGTATCTTCCCTTTTCTTAATTTATTAATTAAACGATTCGGTTTATCAATATTTCTCAACAATTTGTATATATATATATATATATATATATATATACATACACACACATTGCAGATTATTCTGATGGTTTGGCTAGTTAAATCTTAATCTACAAATCACAAAAAAAATAAAATTCTAGCCCTATATACGTGTGTGTATGTATATATACCATATATCAGTATATCAACGGTTTAATACATAATGATGTAAAAACTTTATATTGATGGTTTTCGATAACTTTATGAAAACTCACCAAAAACTGGATACGGTTTTTGCATAATTCATACAATTCGAAATTAATATACATATCGGATAAGAATTATACCTGAATCCATTTTGCAGCGGAATGACTTTGAAGAATAATTCGGTAAATCGGTTTTTCTCTCTTTTCACCCTTACTTTGATAATTTTTCTGATGGATGAAAAATATGAATCAAGATCCTCTATTTATAGGGGAAAGAGATGGATTACCATGAATACCAATGGACATTCAAACTTAATTAGCTCATATCCATCAATGAGCTCAAAATAATATGAAGTCCAAAACCCAAAATTCCATGGGTCAATTTTATATTTCCAACATTCTCCCACTTGGCCCATGTGATGATTTGATGATCTACAATCTTTAAAACGCGTAATTTTATATTGTATTCATCTATCACCGATAACTTTTATTTGAACAACAAACAATTGAATCTTGGCGGTCACACATCATTTTATTTGAATATGATTCCTTCCAAGTATCACAAACGTTTGTCATCCAAAACCTCTTTTATGGCCAGAAGTAACTATAGAACAATAATGCATATTATCTTTATCAACTTCATATGTACACAAATAATTTAATGATAATATGACTTTCAATAACAGAAACAAGACTTTATTGAATTCAAGATATCATATATAATGAGCAATTATTTAAATTACAACAACGACTTATCTATAATGCCCATACGATCAACATGAGCATTAAAAGTCTTAGGCGGCAGTCCCTTAGTTAATGGATCCGCTATCATAAAATCAGTACTGATATGCTCAAATGATACTCTTTGTTTCTGCACTTCTTCTTTGACAGATAAGTATTTTATCTCCATATGCTTAGCACCTTTCGAGTACTTATCATTTTTCGAGAAGAAGATAGCTGCGGAATTATCACAGTAAATTCTCAGCGGCCTAGCTATAGTGTCGACAATCCTAAGCCCTGAGATAAAGTTCCGCATCCATAAACTGTGAACGGTAGCTTCAAAACATGCTACAAACTCAGCTTCCATGGTGGAAGCAGCAATGACAGACTGCTTTCCACTCCTCCATGATACTGCTCCTCCGGCAAGTAGAAACAAATATCCAAAAGTCGATTTTCTGGTATCAACACATCCAGCATAATCTGAATCTGAATAACCAATGACTTCCAGATGATTTGATCTTCTGTATGTGAGCATATAATCTTTGGTGCCTTGCAAGTACCTTAGAACTTTCTTTGCAGCTTTCCAGTGATTCATTCCAGGATTACTCTGGTACCGACCTAACATTCCAACAGCAAAGCTGATATCTGGTCGAGTACACGTTTGAGCATACATTAAACTCCCAACCACTGATGCATAAGGAATATTTTCCATTTCCTTTCGTTCTAATTCATTTTTCGGACATTGTAAATTACTGAACTTGTCCCCTTTCTGAATTGGAACCTTTCCTGCAGAGCATTTATCCATTCTGAATCTTTCTAAGATTTTGTTGATATAACCTTTCTGAGACAATCCTAACAATCCTTGTGATCTATTTCGGAATATTTCTATTCCTATCACATAGGATGCCTCGCCCATATCTTTCATATCAAAATTCTTAGAAAGAAACACTTTTACATCATGTAAAATTCCCATGTCATTTGCAGCAAGTAAAATATCATCAACGTATAAGACTAAAATCGCATACTTACTTCCACTAACCTTCATGTAGATACATCGATCAACGATATTTTCTACGAAACCATAAGATGTAATGGTATTATTAAATTTAAGATACCATTGTCGGGAAGCTTGTTTTAGTCCATAAATTGATTTTCTCAGCTTACACACTAAATTTTCTTTTCCTGTGGGTATAAATCCTTCAGGCTGATCCATATATACTTGTTCCTCTAGATCACCATTCAAAAAAGCGGTTTTAACATCCATTTGATGAAGCTCTAAATCATAATGAGCAACTAAAGCCAATATAATTCTCAAAGAGTCTTTCTTAGAAACCGGAGAAAAGTCTTTTTATAGTCTGTGCCTTCCTTTTGGGTATAACCTTTGGCAACAAGTCGGGCTTTATACCTTTCGATATTACCACGTGAGTCAAGCTTGGTCTTAAAGACCCATTTACAGCCGACTTTCTTTGCACCTTCCGGTAAATCTACTAAGTCCCAGACATTATTATCGTTCATGGATTTTAATTCTTCTTTCATGGCATCAAACCATTTTCCAGAATTACAACTATTCATGGCTTGTTGAAATGTAGACGGATCATTATCAATGCTTAAGTCACATTCATGTTCTAGAGAATAAACCACATAATCATCTGAGATTGCAGATCTCCTTTCCCTTTCAGATCGTCTCAAGATGATCGGTGGTTCATTAATCTCCTCTGGTACCGTGACCTGTTCATTAATAATGTTTTCATTATGTGGGTTTTCGATATGCTGTTGTTGTACTTGAATATCACGAGACGTTGATGCGAATTTCGGTACAAGAACAACAGAAGGGATATCCGGTGTGAAAACGTTATCCCGAATCTCTTCTATGCCAACTTTTCGTGATTCATCACTCCCACTGATTTGACCATTTTCAATGAACCTTGCATTGCCAGTCTCCATAATTCTCGTACTATGGTTAGGACAATAAAATATAAATCCTTTAGACTTTTCTGGATAACCAATGAAAAATCCACTGATTGTCCTAGGATCAAGCTTCTTTTCATGTGGATTGTATATTCTTATTTCTGCTTGGCAACCCCAAACATGCAGGTGCCTTAAACTCGGTTTCCTTCCTGTCCACAATTCATAAGGTGTTTTAGGGATTGCTTTGCTAGGAACACGATTAAGCAGATAAGTTGATGTTTTTAATGCATACATCCACAATGAGAGAGGTAAAGAGCTATTACTTATCATGCTCCTAACCATATTCATTAATGTACGATTCCGCCTTTCTGCTACACCATTTTGTTGCGGTGTACCGGGCATTGTGTATTGTGCACAAATACCCTTACTTTCGAGGAATTTCGCAAATGGACCTGGACACTGTCCAGTCTCATTATATTTTCCATAATACTCTCCACCTCTATCAGATCTCACAACTTTAACCTTTTTCTCTAACTGCCTCTCAACCTCATTGATGAACACTTCAAGTATGTTCACAGATTGAGATTTATCATGCAGAAGATAAGTATAACCATAACGTGAGTAATCATCGATAAAAGTAATAAAGTACCTTTCTCCACCCCACGTGGAAATATCAAAAGGACCACAAATATCAGTGTGAATTAATTCTAGAAGCTGAGTGCTTCTTGTGGCCGCTTTCTTTATAGTATATTTTGTCTGCTTTCCTTTGATGCAGTATAAACATACCCACCCCTAAATCACTAAAATCCAAACATGGTAAAATTTCATTCTTCACCAATCTTATATATACATATATATGTGTTTATATATGTATATGTATATATAAATATATTTGTTTGTATGTATATGTATATATATATTTGTATAGATGTTTGTATATATATGTGTATGTTTTTTTATTTTGTATATATATTTATATTTTTATTTGTATATAGATATGAATATATATGTATATTTTTTTTTGCTGTTTATTTATTTTATTTTAAATTTAAAAAAATCGATTTTTTTCATATTTTTTCGGAATTTTTTTTTAAAATATGACGTGGCATGCTGATGTGGCAAAAAATCTATGTGGCGTGCCACGTCAGCCGCCACGTGGCGTGCCACGTCAGCGGTTGACGGACACTTAACACCGTTTTTGGATTGTGTAGGAAATTGCAGTTAAATTGGGTAGTTCGTGTATCAATTTGGCACATTTGATAATTTGGTGTAGTTTTTTGTCAAATTAAAAATTCGTGTAGGAAAAGGTCAGATTTTGTAAAGTTGGTGTAGGAAAATGTCATTTTCCCTAAATAATAAGATTAATGGTATTAAGTTATAGTTATTAGTTATGATGATAAACACTGTATATATAGATTTTTAAATGGGTTTAAAGTGGTAATTATAAGGTTTTTACATTATTTTTAAAAATGAGCACTTATTTAGATCTGTTGATAATTAGAAATAACGCTTTTAAGAACTAAAAGTTTTTGTGTTTTTTAAATCGAACGGAGCGAATTATGCTATTTTAATTCAGTTCGAAAAATTTTAAAATCACCAATCGATTATGAGCGCGGGAAAATGGATCGGATTCGGTTCGGTTCAAATATCACCCAATAAAACCGGTTAATTGATCGGTTATTTCACTTCTTGGTTTGGTAATTTTGGACCCTGGGTATATAATAAATGGTAAACTCACACACTCTTACAGTCAAACCCACAGTGAAACCCTCGCTCTCTCCGGCGACTTCGGCCATCAGCTCCCCGAACCGATCGCCGCCGGTCTCCGACTTCATCCCTTCCGATGCAAAGGCATCCACACTCTCTCAGAGTATGCTTGTCTCTGTGTGTATGTATATACTCTGTGCTTGCTTTAAGTCCATAAAAACCCTAGTTACTCACTCGATCACGACCTCGAATCACAAGAAAAATGGGAGGAGACGAGAAGCAACCAGCGACGGAATCAAGGAACACAGCCTCGAAGGATGTCGGAGACGAAACATCTCTTACACTTGTTGTACAAGCCGACGACAACGACGCCATTGAAGCGCCGATTGTGACGTCTTACAATGTTCGAATCAGACCGTTGCTTGACACGGTCGACAGGCTGAGGAACCTCAACGTGATGAAAGAAGGGATCCAGCTTCCGACCATTGTTGTTGTCGGAGACCAGTCTTCTGGGAAGTCCAGTCTTCTGGGAAGTCCAGCGTTCTGGAGTCCTTGGCGGGAATCAGTTTGCCCCGTGGACAAGGGATCTGCACGAGGGTTCCTCTTGTGATGAGGCTTCAGCGAAGTCTGAACCCTGAACCTGAGATTTGGTTGGAGTTTGGTGACAGAGTTGTTCCTACAACAGAAGAATATGATGCAGAGGCTATTGTTGCTGCAACCGATGAAATCGCCGGTACGCTTCTTGATCCTTTTTTTAGCTTCTTACAGTGCGATACTTTCTGCAAAACACGCAAACCATAAAGGAACAAGTTCATGAAAGTAGCAAATGAACTCTGAAAAGGATCTTGGCTAGTCTGATTTTGAACGGAAGAATCGATTAACCAGACTTAGTAAATGATGAATATTTGACAGGACTATTGAAAGTCTTTTGACTTTGATAAACATCGGTCAATGCCCAATTGCTTTTCCTCTGTTCCAGGATCTGGCAAGGGAATCTCAGACACTCCCTTGTGTAAAAACTTTATATTGATGGTTTTCGATAACTTTATGAAAACTCACCAAAAACTGGATACGGTTTTTGCATAATTCATACAATTCGAAATTAATATACATATCGGATAAGAATTATACCTGAATCCATTTTGCAGCGGAATGACTTTGAAGAATAATTCGGTAAATCGGTTTTTCTCTCTTTTCACCCTTACTTTGATAATTTTTCTGATGGATGAAAAATATGAATCAAGATCCTCTATTTATAGGGGAAAGAGATGGATTACCATGAATACCAATGGACATTCAAACTTAATTAGCTCATATCCATCAATGAGCTCAAAATAATATGAAGTCCAAAACCCAAAATTCCATGGGTCAATTTTATATTTCCAACAAATGATTCTTATAATGAGTATATACACATATAAATATCAATCTACGTTGCTTGTATTTATAGGAAACTAAAATTCTAATGGTTTGGCTAGTTGAAATCTTAATCTACAAATCATAAAAACTAATTAAAATTCTAGCCCGATAGATCAGTAGATCAATGGTTTAATACATAATATCCTTATCATGTGTTTTAACAAAAAATAATAATCCTTATAATGTGTGTGTGTGTATATATATATATATATTCAAATCTACATTGCTTGTATTGTTAGGAAAGAAAATATATAAAATATCACATACGAAATCGTAAAACACGTGATTGGTCGGACTCGTACAGCTACGAATTAATAATATTACTCACATGGTGGTTGTCCTAAAGAAAATTCGGTAATGATCATATAGTCACTCAAATATTCATATGAGAATACGGACAAACGCATACCATCCCGAAATGATGTGTTAACAATGACTCCAATTATTTTTTCCCCCCACATATTCTCAACTTATATATATACACACATATATGTGTGTAATTAGAATCGCTAGCATGCGTTACGCGGTATTTACTAAAATACTATTAATCATTAAAACAATATTTGATAAGTTGTAGTTTTTTATTTATTCATTGTTTCATAGTTAATATATAGTTTTCTATATATTTTTTGTACTCTGATGCATTTGATTTGTTTGATTATTAGTTAATTTGATTATAGAATAATGATATGCTAATAATATGACTTTTATCCAGTTGCATCTTTTGACTATCATTACCGTTTGGAGGGGAGATTTAAAAAAATATTGATGAAATAAAAGAAGGGTAAATAATAGAATATATAATGCCGATCCTTTTCTTTGTTGAATGTGTTTGAATGCCAACTAATAAAAAAAAATATATGTTTGGTGGTATCGGAATCGATTATCGATTTATTTTATGTTTTTTTTTCCTTTTAGTGTTGTGTATTAATATTTTATGTGATTTGCATGAATTACTGATTTCGCAGATATAAGTAATTTTAATTTGTCGTGAAAAAAGTGATTTTAATTTGTAGATGAAGGTAAAACTTTGTTTTGGTGAAATCCATAATATTTAGGTTTTTAATTATTTAATATTATAAATTTCCATTAATTGGCTATGTTTTGCTAATAACAGATTATTTAATTTTGTTCTGCCAAAATTCATTTAATATTAAATTAAATCTATTTTTTTGTTACCGAGAAATTTAGAAGAAATGAACTGTAGTTTGTAGATTGGGAGAAATTAAATGTGTTTTATAATAGGGAAAATTGCATATAGATATTTAAATTTTATAAAAACCTCAAATAAATATCTAAATTATAAAACTTCAATATAAAAAACTAAAATTAAATCTTATATAAATATCTAAACTTTTTTAAAAAAATTCCAAATAAACTAAAAGTTAAGGAACTTTTTCAAATAAAAATAGTTATCGATTTTGGGTTTATTTAAAAAAAATTCAAAAATTTAGGTATTTGTATAATTTTTTTGAAAAGCTTAGGTATTTGTATAAAATTTTTATAATTCAGATATTTTTTTGAAATATTTGTAAAAATTTGTATTTAAATGCTATTTTCCCTTTCTATATTACGATGGAAAAACAAAATAAAAAAACAAACACGTAATGGAAAATCATGCAAATACAAAGATCAAGATTTTGAGCCCACAAAAGCCCATTAGTCCATTATTAGGCCCAATAAAGGCCTGTCATTTTGTTTCATTCAAACAACAATTCTTTATTTTCCATACACCAAAATAAAATTAAAGAAACGCAAGCAAGAGAAGTGGAAGCCGAAACGACGACGAGAGGAGAAACACCAAATCGAGAAGAAGAGGAGCAATCTACGCGTAGAACACGAGCACGTATACACATTCGTATACGCTCACACGCCCATATTCACGCATCTTTTCGATTCGTGGAGACCTTTTCCGTTGCCGACCCAGATGTAAGTGTTTCCCCTCTAACGCCAACTTGACTTTCCCGGAAAACGTGATTCCTGGAAATTCTGATGCATGTTCGCATTGCAGAACTTAGAGATTCCATTTTCTATTTCTGGGTTTGTCTTGATGATCTCTAAATCTTTCTCGGATTCCTTGTTTTATTGTTTCGGTGAGATGGTTGATCCGTTTGTTTCTGGGTCATTCAGATCATGAACTGTTTTATTTCCAATGTTTTGATGTGATGTCGGGATAAGTTGAGAAGGGATATTTGTTTATGAAAAGTCCTTGTGCAGGAAAAAAAAAACGAAAGATCGATTCTTTTTTGTGGGAACTTGTTCGTGTACAATATTGGCTGTCTACACTAGTTTTTATCAATGGCAACTTGTTCATGAATCTATGAGTGACAGTGTACTGTTGTGCAAATATGTGAATTCGCATTTTGTATATTTGATTGTTAGTATACTATTCATGATAATGTTGATGACTCAATAATCCTAGACATAACTGAAAATTTAGACATAACCGTCCTGAGAGAAATTTTTTCTGTTATTGAGCTTGACTCTCTGTTTTCTTGTCTATAATTATATCCAGCATCCACTGTGTAAGTGTCGTATAGAATCTTGAAAATGGCTTTGTTCAGGACAGGTCCTTGTGCAGGGAAAAAGAACGAAAGATTGATTCTTTTGTTTTTGTGGGGGTTAGATTGTGATGCTGAAAGTCTGCTCATTTTGGATTCAGTTTTGTAAATCTGTGGATGATTTTCCATTGGAATCATGATGTTTTCGGCCTAATTTATCTAACATTCTGGTTCGTGGTTCGTTAGGAAGACATGGTTAGAAGGGGAATACAGAGTCTACACTAATGGCACTTTGTTTCATGAAGCTATGAGTGACAAACAGTGTATATGTTCTTGGTGTGCGTTGCTGTTACTGTTGATTTTGGATTTGCATTTTGTGTCGTTTGATAGTTAGGATGATGTTCATTACAGTGTCGATGACTCAATAATCCTAACCATGACCAAAAATCAAAGAGATAGGGCGGAGGACAGTCCCGATATTTAAGGAAATCAATACAAACATTCATGTTATCGAGCTTTACTGTCTGTATTCTTGTCTATCGAGCATCCACAATGTCAGTTTTCGAGGAAATTTCAATTACATTAGAACGCATGGAAAACCCAATTAAGTGTCTTGTATAACCTTGCAAAGTTTCGAGGAAATTTCAATTACATTAATAGGCAGGGAATTGATGAACCATCCTACACTAGCTTGTTCATGCATGGAATATGAGGATATGAAAGAAATGAAATTAACAAGTTTGAATCTTGTTGTCTTTTCAGGGAACACTTGCATATAATTGTTGATAAGAACAACTTCTGAAAGAGGAAACCCCACCTCTTGTAGATTTTTCAAGGGGGAAAAAAGGATGAATCAAGAATCGGGCTCACCTACTACCCTGAAGCGAAAACGGGGTCGCCCTCGTAAAGATGAAACCCAAACCCAACAAGAGAAGACGGCCATTACTCCGAGACCTGACACTGTAAGCACCGATGGAACTGTGGATGACATCATGGGTCAGGTGGTGTCTGGTGTAGTTGAAGGTTCTTTCGACGCAGGGTATTTCCTCAACGTCAAGGTTGCAGACACGGATAAACAACTGAGAGGTGTCGTGTTTATACCCAACAAAGTAACTCCAATTACTGCAGAGAATGATGTAGCTCCTCATGTTAAGATGTATGAAAGAGAAGAGATCTCTGCCCCCTCTTCAAACCCGAAAACACATCCCCAGGGGCAAGAAAACTCTGAAAAGCCAACAGACAATGACACAGTTCATGAGCTTCAGACAGGTGACTTGACGATCACCCATCAGAATCAATCTTACCCCTTTTACGACATCTTTCTCTGATGAATCATCCCCATGAAAACTGCAGGTATTGGTTCCGAGCTTAGGTGTTCATCCCCGGTTATTCCTAGTGGCATGCAAGTAAAAGACATTGACAATGCTTCCTTACTAGAGAGAGTCCCTCCACCCGAGATTGCAGATTCAGGATATGAAAACCAGGCACTGTCTTTAATGCCACAGTCAGGCAATGACGGCTTCTATGAAACGCATAACACAGTCCCGGCATGTGAAGCCTCTGAAGCAAGTAAGAAGTCGAGCCCGGACAGATTGCCACAGAATGATTCGGTCACAGAAGGTAACCCTCTGGTCGATTTCTTCCCCACCTCTGAAACAACTCGACTTCAGAGCCCAAACCTCGAGTTCTTTCACCGAGAGACGAAGCTGTCATCCCGAGATGAACGACAGAAATCCCCTCCACGCGATGAACCTCGAGGGTTCAACCTCATGGCAGAAAAACCAGCTCCTTCTACCATGGAAAACGTGCCAGAGGAGGAGCTTCAGCTAGAGCTCGGGAACAAGATCATGAGCGGTGTTAAACCTCCTCACCCCGATAGCACTGGGGAGACAAATCATCAACGTGCTTCATCGATGAGCGGGTTTCTTGCAAACTTGTTTGAAGGAGAAGCCACAAGAGCAGAACCAGACCCTGCTGCTCCAGAAAGCGGGTTAGGCACGGTACCTGAAGAGGATGATTCCTCAGCCATTTACAGAAACGTGGACTGCAACATGAAAGAAGATATTTCAAAGGAGCAGACACAGAAACCGTTGGTATCAGATTGAAACAGTTCCTCCTCCTGTAGTTAGCAGATTAATAGTGCCATAACGTCCGTTTTTTTTTTGCCTGCCATTGATTTTGGAAGTATTGGCAATGGCTCTCTTACCTTGGACTTGGTTTTTTTTTTGTTGGTAAAACTCAATGCTCCTTTTAAAAAATAGTTCTTTTTAAATTAGGTGAAGATCGTATGTGGCTTTTTCTTTTTTATTGATAATTTTATTATAATATTTGTTGATACAAACTTAATAAAAAAAAAATCATACATTGCTTGATAAAGAAAAAAATATATTTTTTTATTAAATTTTTATCATATAAAATTATTTTTTTTTATGAAAAATGATTTTAAATTAAAATATATAATACTCTCGTTGACTTGCTTTTCAATTAATACATTTAATTAAATTGATATTTTTTTATAAGCCCATTATAATTTTAAAAAGTATCACATGGAATGTTGACGTGGTTTTAATAAGATATCATTTTATTCTGTTTGTTCCTATATGTGTGTGTGTGTGTAAATCCAAAAGTATGTTGCATGAAAAAGCGAAAATTAAAAGGGACGAGGCTTCATGGCCTTAAGGGCTAATACCTAAAATGGGCTTTGTGGGCTTGGAAGGCCCAATATTTGTGGGGATAGCCTTATCTTGCATTGACTTTTTAATGGAGCATATGCATTGATTTTTAGTAAACGTTAAAAGGCTATAATGCCATTTACACATTATCGACAAAATTAGACATTGGGTTTATATATATAGGTCTATTATAAACGCATAATATTTTCTGGGGTTTATCTCTTTAGTATATGTATCTCCATAACATGATTTGAAAGAGACCCACCCTATAATTGTAACAGTAGGAAGCATAAAATAATAATATTGTTTCTTTTTTTCGTATTTTTTTTTTCATGTCGACGCATGTCCATTTTCTTGCCCGAGATCTGTTTATGTAGGGTCGTTCATATCTGTTTGGAAGAAATTTGGTGATTTAGATCTATAATATCATTAATAAATTATAATATGGGATGGTCATTGCATGGGGGAGAGAGAGAGAGAGAGAGGGAGAGAGAGAGAGAGAGAGAGAGAGAGAGAGAGAGAGAGAGAGAGAGAGAGAGAGAGAGAGAGAGAGAGAGAGGGTTGTCCAAAGGGAAGCAATTGTTGAGGTAAGATTTGGACAAAGTAAATGAAGACAAGATTTATCCAACAAGTTGAGAACGTTGTAACATCTCAGATCCTATTGGCTCTGGCCCTCCATGTCGTTGAAAGGTTGTGGGGGAAATGTCCAAATTTCCCGAACGTGGTGAATATGTTGTTTGGATATGCTTTGTCCCTTTCTTTGGCTTTTTTCTTTTACATACATACGTATATATACACACTTATATGTATATACATACGTAAGTACGTACTTTTAGACTTGTATACACTAAGACAGACACTGAATACATGTACTTACGTACAGAACTGATTGGTACTTCCCATTCTCCTTCTTTTCAAATTGGTTGGACATTTTTGTTTCACATTTAACATCGTATAGAGAAAGACTATATATATATATATATATATATATATATATATATATTAAAATTTAAATCAGAAAACTCATATGAGATATATATAGTTGTTGCATAAGATATAATTATGTTTTCCATGTTGGGTCGCCATTATAGGATATTCCCGGATTTCCTACCAATGAAATAAAAAGGAAACGATTGTGCTGAATGTTAAGATATATCTACCTGGCAATTTTCATTATGGGATATGAATTTTGGTCCAATGAATGAATTTCGCATTATTGGTATTTGATTTCGATTGGAGAGAGAGTTTGGGAAGTGGGTTTTTAGAGAGAGAGAGAGTGAACAAAACAAAAACACCAAGATCAAAGTGCTTTAATTATGTAATAGAATTTTTTTGTGGTTGCCCTTTGGTTTGGCAAACTACTGTTTTGCTTGAATGATGGTTTATTAAAAAATATATATATAATAAAATAAAATAAAAAGTCATTTACGAAGAATTCGTTAATCGCTGTCGTCTTTTTGGAGAATGCAATGTGTGTGATGTGTCATGTAACCACTGACAAAAATGGAGGACAAAGGAGAGAAATAAGGCAAATTCCAAAATTGGGAGGAGGGTCCATATATATATATATATATATATATATATATATATATATTGTATTGTGTCATTGCCAACTTTGTGGTTAGGTCTTACAGCCTGTGTTTGTATCTCTCTATTCTTTTCCTATTTATTTATTTTCATCATTTTCATGTAGAGATTGTTTTTATTTAATAAACCGTGAAAATCAGGGTTTAAAATTTTATATATGCCATAAAAGTTATCAACAATTGAATTCAAGTGATGGGATAAATTGTAACGTTGAATATTCTAATCCAACATAAAATTGTTTTTCATAAAAGAAAATTAAATTTCATTTAAAAAAAACAGAAAATTGTCATCTTTTGCAAGTGTCCTTTTGTGGGTCGATATATGTATGTGCGCGCGTGTGCGAAGAACATTAATATTGATTTGAATGAAATCGATCCATTTGGACCGTTGATATGCATTTTATTTTGCGATATTGACAGCGTATATTAGAAAACATAGAAAATCAAATGTGAACTTAGACGTTTAAGTTGGGATTGAAAAGGTCGAAGGACTAAATGGCCAACTCATAGATATTAGATTAGACGGTCCAACTCATGAATATTAATTAGGCCACAATATTATTTGAGAAAATTCGTGAAACAGTATAGTACTTTTTTTTCTAAACAAAATCATTGAACTAATTAATAATAATTCTTAAAAATATTAATATACTAAAATCTCTTTATTTTAATAAAATTCATTATTATTATTATTATTATTATTATTAGGGTTTGTGCTATTACTTAATGAGTTTTAACTTTTTATGATATTTTGTATTTTTCAGCAAAAACAATAAACAAATTAATAGTAAAAGGAATACATATAATCAATCGGGATATTATATGATTTATTTACATTGTGATATGTTTATATTTGTATTTGTATGAATATATATGTATATATGTGTATTTTTTTACTTTTTATTTTTATTTTTTTATTTTATTTTTTTTCAGTTTTTTTCGGTTTTTTTAAATCTATTTTTTATTTTTTTATTTTTTGTAATTTTTCGGATTTTTTATATTTTTTTAAAAATCTGACGTGACATGCTGACATGGCAAAATTTCTCATGTGACGTGCCATGTCAGACGCCGCGTGGCGTGCCATGTCATCAGTTAACGGATATTTAACACCGTTTTCGGGTTGTGTAGGAAATTGCAGTTAAATTGGGTAGTTCGTGTATCAATTTGGCATATTTGATAATTTGGTGTAGTTTTTTGTCAAATTAAAAGTTGAAAAAATCACATTTTAAACAATCCGTGTAGGAAAATGTCATTTTTCCTTTGGGATACTCCATATATATATGATTATAATCATATATGAATCATCTTTATTCATATCACAATAGAATATTTCTAGCAAAGAAGGTGAAATCTGCTGATCGAAGGCATTGGTGATTGGTAGTAGGGCATCATCTTTATTCAAATTCACATAGTCACACATATTTTAAAATTCATGTAATATTTGAAGGTGAATTAAAAAGGTGAAACCACTATGTCACGCATGCATGTGGTCTTGTTCGATATCATAATAATTTTATATGGCATCCGCGTTAGCATCTTCATTGTTCCTCCATACACACATACAAGAGAGAGAGAGAGAGAGAGAGAGAGAGAGAGAGAGAGAGAGAGAGAGATTTATCTTTTAGTATTTGCTCCTTTGTGTGGGTACATGTGTTCGTGTTGTTCTATTACCACTTTGTTAATGCAGATGTTTGGTCACATATATGTCTTTTTTTGGTACGACACATCTCTTGTAATAATTAAAAAAAAAAAGAGTAAACTAATTGACAAAGAGAATTCATTGCATGTGTGTCCTAAAAGATCATCTCCACAAAGATGATATGTTTGCTTGTGCCATAACCTAAATAACTTTAAAAAAAAATACCATTTTTTGTTGTTGTTGACAGCATTTGGCTAAATTTTGGCAAAGTATTTTGTTTATTCAACTTAAAAAAATGTTTTTAAGATATTTTCTACATTTATATCTAAAAGTATTAGTTTTTGAAGAAAAAAATAAATCAAATTCAATTTTCATCTATTTTAACACATCCTATAGAACGAATAATATAAAATTTGATTTTCGTATAATGACTTTTCCTATGATAATTTCTCGGTACAATCTTTATATTCGAAAACGGTACGGTGATGTCTTATTCATTTTGAGAAAGAGCCAATATTTATAATAATACTGTGATCGGTTATATATATTTATTTAATTTTCCGAATTATTTCCTGGATATAAGTGTTACCACATTTTGAGAACTATGTTTTGTGGAAGGTTCGACGGTTTAGTTTTATTTTTGTATTAATGATTTTTCTATCAAGTTTGAGGGATAAAATAAAGTCCGACATTGACATTTGAGTTGACTTTAGGGCCTAGATTTTTTAACCTCACAATCATATCATATGGATATATACATACATATGTATGTATACATGCATGCATGCATGCGGTCTAACTATTCATCTCACAAATTTATATGGCTTTCTTTTCTTGTTTCGTTTTTTTTTTATAAATTTTCAAACTTTTCTTTTATTTCCTTTCTACCTTCGTGCGTATGCTCACGAAGAAAGCGAAGGAACCGACCAAGGCGGGAAAAAAGGGTAATTTAGATATCTTTAAATATTTAATTTAAAAGTTATGTATAGCTCCGATTAATAAATTCCCATAAAACAAATCCTAAATATATGTTGTAAGTATTGTTTTATTTCAATTCAGTTTAATACAAGTCAAACATAATACCATTTTCATCAATCCCCTTTTTTTGTTTTTGTTTTCATAGATATATAAATAAACGTTGGCCAAAAAATCCCCGGAAAACACCATTTACACATAATATAAATTAAATATAATAAACTTGCTTCAATTAAAAAAAAATCATTTCCACGTCTTTTACAAAAAGCTCTCCAAAAACCTTATGATTAAAGCTTTATTTGACCGATGTAATTTAAAGTTAATAGTTAGCTAATCTCATATAAATGTATATATGTGTATATATGTGATGGAAATCAAAGTGTTTCCTTGGTGAAGGAGACTGACTGATGAGAAAGGCGTCAAAAAGGTAGAGTGGAATTGCGTGTCATCCACAAATCATATAAAAAATTGGAGAAAAACAAGCATGTGATGCTGACGTGGAAAATACACCATGGTCCTCAAGCCGACAAGGAATATGCATTTGATGCTCTACCGAATCCTCTATGAATAAATATACCATGTGTATTATTTATACACACACTATATACATGAATTTATCAAGTTCTCTTACGTACATTACACCACGTCCATATGTGTGCCCATGCGTATATCTATACATATAATTTTGAATAAATTACAATTTTAGATAAAAAGGTTTATATTCCAAATTATATGGTTGATTTTTAACTTTCAAAATTAGTCTATAAAAAAAATACAATTTTAGAAGATGATCCAAGGATGACAAGGAACACGGAAGTTGAAGAACTTGATCGAAAAACTAAACTGTTTGCATATATATGACTAACCACACACGAGATGAATCATTTATTTAACATATCTTATTTCTTTTTATAAATTAAATGTTTGTTCTATTTTTTTCAACAGCTTTTAAGGCATGTTATCATTTCATAAAAGCCTAGGGCGACGAATAGAAAATCAAAATGGCAGACTAAATAAATCCAAGAAACCAACATTGCCACCAGAAATGAATGCAATTAAGTGTGTATCCCCCCACTTGTCACAACAGACAAACGAATATAATATATATATATATGAATAATAAAACCATTGAAAAAAGTTTATTCATTTTTATTTATTTATGAAATCAAGCAATAAGAAAGTAACTAAGCAACAGGAGGAGACATGCCATTTGTCCATAATAAGAGCCAAAGCTAACTTTTTTTTCCCCCTTCTTACACCAAAAGTAACGGTTCTCGTTTTTCCGACCTAATTCTATTGGAAAATGCATTAAAGGAATAAAAAAAAATGCATAGAAATATTTGAATAAAATTATTTCAAAAATATATTGTGGTTTGACTCGTCCTTATGGAAAATGCTTTTATTTTAGATAATTTTCCTTTTCCTTTTCTACCTACGATTTACACAAAAAAAAAAAACCAGCGCTATAGTATCATATACTAAAAGTAAGTAAAAATGGGACGTTGTACAATTTTCTATGAGGATATAAGCGATAGCATCTGTAATTTAAACTATATATTACATCCAAAACACATTTTGATATTGAACAACTTTAAATATATATATGCAAATTTCATCAGAGAAATGATCGATATAGGAAGTCCGTGACAGTCGTCTTGGTGAATAATCAAATTAATCAAGAGTAATGATTAAGACATTAAATTTCGTGCTATAGTAATATATTGTGAATATAGCAATGGTAGGCCTAAGAATGAAGCATATATATGATATATCTTTTTTTTCATTTTTAATTTGAAAAAGAAACGGGTTCAACTTCAACAATTGTTGAATATAAATTTATAGAGAAAATAAAAAAGAATGTATGAAGCAGCCGCCTTGAAAACAAAGGGATGGCGTGTAAAGCGACGCTTTTCTCTTGGAAACTTTGGTAAACAAACAAATTGCAAAGTGGAAAGGGGAAAGTGGAAGCTTGCCATTTGCCTTTTCTTCCATCCCCATGTGCTCTCCCTCTCCAATGCAACTACACACAAAATTCCCAAGATCTATCTTATATATATATATATATATGTGTGTGTGTGATTGTTATAATGGAAAAGTGTGAAAATTCCTTGTGGAAAAATTTCAGATTTTTCATTTTAAAATATCTATATGTATATTCAAATTTTATATGGGATTTTGAAAAGAATGAAAAAATATATATGGATAGAGAGTTTTTTTAAGATGAAGTGTTAAAGAAGTTATACCCAGAATAATATCATCGTATATTCAAGATTATACCAAATCTGGAAATTAGATGTTTAGATTACGAGAAATATTACGAAATAATGTGTTGTATCATTTTATATAAAAAAAAATAAGACTAATTTTCCATAAATTTATACCCCCTACCTATAGTGAGAAAACGATATCCAAGATTATTTATTTTTATATTTTGTCACGAGAGTTTTATGTTTTACCTACAAGAAAAACCAATGTTTTTAATCAATTCAAATCTCAAGTATAGGTATTACAATATCTTACTTTAAAAAACGTATTTTTGGACCATTTTTAAAGATACGATTTAATAACCGGGAATACTAGGTCATCGATAAACCCTACAGAAATATTTAATTTTCCTAAAACAAAAAAAAAAGAATAAGAAAGAAAAAGAGCAGAGCGAAAGAATTAAGGAATTTGTTTTAAGAGGAAAAAAGGTGTAGGAAAAGACAGGAAGAGGGAAAATACAGGAGTAGCCGGTCATCGGTAAAAAAACATGGTTTTTTCGGTAAAAAAGGGGGGGGGGGGTATTTTCTTAATTAATTTTCTCTTAAATTCCCTTTTGGGTTTCTTTATTTTTTTTCCCGGCAAAGGGTTAACGTCCATAAGAGTAAGCCAAGCGTTGCTATAAATAGACGACGATCGCTCCCCACTCGTCAGCCCATTTTCTCTCCGTCGTCCAAACATTTCTATTTACAACACAAAAATCCCCAAAAAAAAACACCCAAATTTTCTGTCTTTTGTTTTCTTCTCGCGGAAAGTTCAATTTTTTTCCGGGTAAATGTTGTGTTAGGTTCGTTGAAACCCACCCAGAACGCGTGATTTGAAACCGGGTTTTGTTCTTCTGGTCTCTGGATCTTCTGGGCTTGTCGAAAATGGAGCAAAAGAGCGTGCTTTTGTCGGCGCTAGGCGTCGGGGTCGGGTTGGGAATCGGGTTAGCTTCGGGTCAGAGTTTGGGAAAATGGGCAAACGGGTCGGGTTATCTGGTGGACGGTCCGGCCGTGGAGCAGATTGAGCAAGAGTTAGTGAGACAGGTTGTTGATGGGAGAGAGAGCAAAGTCACTTTTGACGAGTTTCCGTATTTCCTAAGGTATTTTTGCTTGCGTTTTCACTTCTTGCTGCTCTGTTTTGTTCACATCTATCATGATGGTTGATGTTGTTTCTGTGATGATGGTTTGACCCTGTTTTATGGAACCATTTTGAGCTCAAAGATTTTCGAATTTTTGGCCAAAATCGTTAGGGATTTCAGATTTATGGATGTAGATAGGAGGAGCATATGAAGACGGGAAGTGGGTTTCTTTAGGATGTGATTTCAAAGCTGTCAAAAGATTGAATATTCCCAGTGAATCATGAGGAAAAAAGAGGGTTTTTTTAAAACGGGTTTTTGGTATTGGATTTAGAATCTATAAATGGAGGCTAAGGATCCTAGAATCATTGGGTACTCAGGGGTTGAGAGGAGGAGAGAGATGGTACTGGGAGAGATGGGTGATTGGTCCCCCAGAAAATTTTCTGTTTGGCAGAAAAGAAAGGAAAATTATGGGAAGTGGTTAGGTTAGGTGCACAAGAAGCATGTGGGTTTGATTTGGTGAAAAGGAGAAAGATTCTCTTCCCTCCCCACATGTAATTCCAATGCTTGTTTTTTTTTTGTTCCTTTCCATCTTTTTTACTTCTTCTCGTCTCCCACTTTTCCTATTTTCGACCTTGCCCTTCTTCTTGGATTCATTGGCCCTATTCTCTACCTTGGCCTCTGAATGGATTATGAATCTGGAACTATATATCTTAGACACAACACATCCGTTTTTTGTACTTTTGTTTAGTTTGGGGAGAGTGTTTTTGTCTAAAGCTGAGTTTTGTCTATGAAGGTTACTGTCAAGGACTTTAGTGACAGATACAAAAACAAGATTCTGGTTCAACACTCTGAAATTTGACATTATCTCGATATTAACTTCGCCCTTTTGGTGTTTAGAACTTGGACTGTAGAACTGCAGTTGGTCACAGCAATGGTGTATGAAAGTTGAAATCTTTACCGCAAAAGCCTGTCCTGGTTCATGCCTGTTTGTGGCAGATAACAAAGCACTAGCTTCTAACTTTTTCATAAGAACCATATACTTTTGTTTTGTCAGAAAATTTTTGTTTAAAGATGTGTAATATCCGCTGGGTTGAGAAAGTATCTTGCTCATCATCTTCTTCGTCGGTTGCTTTTGATATTGACAGTGAGAGAACACGGGTTCTATTGACAAGTGCAGCGTATGTTCATCTTAAGCAGTACGATATCTCGAAGCACACGCGGAATCTTGCACCTGCAAGCAAGGCCATTCTTCTGTCAGGACCTTCTGGTAAGTTTTCTTAACATCTGTTAACAAAGATCTCAATCTCATCTCCTTTGTTTCTGAAACTGTTTCATGTTGTTAATGGTATGACTCTTCCTTCTTCCTCTGCAGAGTTTTACCAGCAAATGCTTGCTAGAGCTCTCGCTCATTACTTCGAGTCAAAGCTTTTGCTTCTTGATATAACCGACTTCTCTGTCAAGGTAATGACTATATAATTCCAAAAAAAGAAGAAGACTTTGCTTGCTAAAGAGCAGCCACTAAAACCTTTCTCTGGTCTAATTCTTTGTTACAGATACAGAGTAAATATGGGTGCACCAAGAAGGAACCTGTAAGTTACTTGGAATTCCTCCGTGTTTTTAGTGTTATGCTTTTTTCCATTCAGACCCATGAATCTCTAATCTTAACCTTTGTTTTGTTAAGTCTCACAAGAGGTCTATCTCCGAGATGACATTGGAAAAAATGTCATCTTTGATGGGCTCCTTTTCGATGTTGAATCCACGGGAAGAAACAAGAGGTAGATTAACAAATCCCCTCTTCCCCCTGTTATTGTAATGCTTCAAAGTTCTCTCTTTAAACAAGTTCTAAGGAAATATGATTCTTGTAAACTTCAGGAGCCTTGCGTAGGCATACCAGTGGCAATGATCTTTGTTCAAGGTGAATTTGTTGTATCTGATCTTTCTTTTGTTGCGTTTTATACAATTGTTTTCTGTGTTTGCATAATCTTACTAGCCTCTTTCATGTACTGTTCAGGAGCTTTGAGAGTTCTAGTAAACCTCCAAAGCACAAGAGAAATGCCTCCACTGCTTCTGATATCAGCAGCAAATCTTCTCGTTCTTCAGTCTCTGTTTCAGGTGGGTCTTCATCATTCTTGAAAGTTAAATTTCTTGTTATCCTGCCGCTTCTACACCTTTTCCTGTCCTCATTTGCTGGATCAAACTTTGAAAATATCGCATTTTCATGTTACACCAAAGCTTCTACCTTTCTTGCATATATGGCATTCGGCTTTCAGATCCTTACCCACTTGCTCATTTGCGATTTTTTTTCCCCGTTATGGCTTCTACTAGGTTCAAGTAAACGCGCTACAAACTTGTGTTTCGATGAGAAACTTTTCCTGCAGTCTCTTTACAAGGTAAAATCATTGACAAGCTGCTTGCTTTCTAAATGCTACCGGTATTTGATAACTCCCCTGGTGCTTAAACTGGTCTATACCCTTTTTTCGCTTGCAGGTATTGGTATCAGTATCAGAATCCAATTCGGTAATACTATACCTAAGGGACATCGAGAAGCTTCTTGAGTCAGAAAGGTTCTACAAGTTGTTCCAGAGGCTTTTGACTAAGGTCTCTGGCCCTGTCTTGATACTTGGGTCAAGGTTGTTGGAACCCGAAGATGATTGCCAGGAAGTTAGTGAGGAAATCTCTGATTTATTTCCTTACAACATCGAGATCAGGACACCGGAAGAGGAATCTCAACTTGTCAGCTGGAAAACCCGACTAGAAGAAGACATGAAGATGATACAATTTCAGGACAACAAGAACCACATAGCCGAGGTTCTTGCAGCCAATGATCTTGAATGCGATGATTTAGCTTCGATATGCCATGCAGATACCATGGTTTTAAGCAACCACATAGAGGAAATCGTGGTTTCCGCTATTTCTTATCATCTGATGAACAACAAGGACCCCGAATACCGAAACGGGAAGCTCATCATATCCTCCAAGAGGTACTAAAACAGTAAACTTCCTCTTCTTTAACCCATTCATCCATTGTTATCTGTCATCCAAGTTCCGGTTTTTGTGCTAAATTCTTCATGGTTTTGGAAACAGCTTGTCCCATGGATTGAGTCTCTTCCAGGAAGGCTACAGAGGTTTAGAGGACTCTTTGAAGCTCGACACAAATACGGACTCTAAGGTTTTTACAGATTCTGATCTTTTGCTGTTGAATAATTGAACTGAAAAGAGAATGGAAGTGAATGGTTCTTGCCTTCTGTATGATTCAGGGAAAAGATGGTGAAGGGACAATAGGTTTAAAGAGTGAGTCAAAATCGGAGACAGTTGCGCCTGAAAGCAGAACCGAGATGGAAAAGTCACTTCCCTCGACCAAGAAGGACAATGAAAATCCCCTGCCTCCAAAAGCTCCCGTAAGTGGGAAAAAAACCAGACATTCTTTTAACGTTCTTACAGGCTGAGATGAAATGAATATATGTTGGACGAAACCGGTGATTTTCATTTCTCTCTTTCCTCTTCATCCATGTAGGAAGTTCCTCCTGATAACGAGTTTGAGAAGCGAATAAGGCCGGAGGTTATCCCGGCAAGCGAGATTGGCGTGACGTTTGCAGATATCGGTGCCTTAGATGAAACCAAAGAATCGCTTCAAGAACTTGTCATGCTTCCTCTTCGTAGGCCCGACCTCTTCAAAGGTGGCCTCCTGAAACCCTGCAGAGGAATTCTCCTTTTCGGACCACCTGGTACAGGAAAAACCATGCTGGCAAAAGCCATAGCAAACGAAGCCGGAGCAAGTTTCATCAACGTCTCCATGTCCACAATAACCTCGAAATGGTTTGGGGAAGACGAGAAGAACGTTAGAGCTTTGTTCACTCTGGCAGCAAAAGTCTCGCCCACGATCATTTTCGTGGATGAAGTGGACAGCATGCTGGGGCAAAGGACAAGGGTCGGAGAGCATGAAGCTATGAGGAAGATTAAAAACGAGTTCATGACACATTGGGACGGGCTTATGACAAAACCAGGTGAACGTATCCTCGTTCTTGCAGCAACAAACAGGCCATTTGATCTCGATGAAGCAATCATTAGGAGGTTTGAACGCAGGTAAAGCATGAAAACTAACAGTATCCCTCTTAATACCGCATAATCCCCAACTCGTCTGAATCGGGTTTGTCTGATTTTGTATCGTTTCGGGGCAGAATTATGGTCGGTCTTCCGTCGGTAGAGAGCAGGGAGAAGATCTTGAGAACCCTTCTCTCGAAGGAGAAAACAGAGAATCTCGATTTCCAGGAACTTGCACAGATGACAGAAGGATACAGCGGAAGCGATCTCAAGGTTTGTTCAGCCTTAATCTCAATCAGAAAACTCTCGTGGGAGAAAAAGATATCGGGTTGATTTTTATCAAAAAATTGAATGAAAAAGTATTAAATCTCATATTATTATTTATATCCAAACTTTTCAGTTTTCATCAATTAAATGTGGTTGCCAGCAGGAAAGATTGAAAGATCAGGTGAAAAAGCACTCATCTTCACTCTCTTTCTCTCTGAATGTTACTGTTCTTGGCTTTCTGATTGATGTAGACATATACATACATGTATATACTGTTTTAAAATATCAGGAGAGGAAGAAGAAACAGGAAGCAGGAAAAGGCACTGAAGAGGCATCGGATTCGAAGGAAGAAACTTCAGAGGAGAGAGCCATCACATTGAGATCTTTGAACATGGAAGACATGAGACAAGCTAAGAATCAGGTTCATAAACCCTCTCTTCTTCCCCATTCATTCCTCCCTCAAAGCATTACCTTTTTCATATCTCATTGATTCATATGAACTTATAAGATTTGTTTTTTTTCTGGTCAGGTTGCTGCAAGTTTTGCTGCAGAAGGATCAGTGATGAATGAACTGAAGCAATGGAACGATCTGTACGGAGAAGGAGGTTCCAGGAAGAAGCAACAGCTCACGTACTTCCTCTAGTCCCCCCAGACATACCGACCGATCTCTCTCTCTAAAATTTCCTCGGAAAAATCGAAACTTGAGCGGTCTGAGAAAATGCCCTTCATGAGATATTGCAAACCCAGAAGCAAAACCCTAGAGAAAAACATGTTTCTTAGTGTGCAAGAAATCCAGTACTAAGAGTGTCGCCATGGAAGTGTCTTCGTTAAAAAGACCGTTTGATCTTGGGAGAAAAAAAAAACTGTCGTTTTTTTTTGGCGTCAAAGAGAGTCGTGAATCGCTTGGTAGGCCATTCCATTTAAACAGATTTTCTCAGCGAATGCTCAGCAGGCATTTTGCGCGCATTTTATAGGGTGTCTGGCGTTTGCTAAAGCAACCTATTCCCCCCCCCCCCCCCCAAAAAAAAAAAAAGTTTGGAGTTTTGCATCATGTTCTGATTCATGCCCTTGTGAATGTTTAGGTTATTGTCTGTAGAAAATATATCTTATATTATATGTGCATGGTTGGTCTTTTTTTTTTTTACGTTTGATTTACTTGTTCATGTATAAAAATCACTTTATTTCTCCCAACGCCATTTATTATCAGTAATTTCCCTCATATAATTTTTTTTAATTACTTGCCGTTTTTGTTACTTCTTCAAAATTTACTTCATGCTATTCTATAATCGTAATAAAAATAATTTGTTAGTGAATAGTTCATATGTAAAACCTCGCACATTACACACACAATTGGATCAGAAATAGTCTTAGCCTTATTGGGCCTATTGAGGCCTTATCGCCGATTTTCAGATCATTATTTACTAAAATCGAATTTTTGGTCTAATTAAATCTCAAAAGATCGAAAAAGTTCGGATAAATACCTCTTTTAAATTATAATATGGGATAAAAACACCCGTTAAATATTATCTTACCATACAAACTTGGTTTATCCCAATTTCTTTGAATAAAAATCTAAATTTTATATTTTTTACATATTTTTTATAATAAAAGCCAAGCAAGTGGAATCAAAGTCAAAAACTAAAATCCATTTTCAAAAAAAAAAAAATTGAAATTCTATATAGTTAACAACTTGATTTGGACACGTTTGGATATGTATGTATTTATTAAGATGTTGGATGTTCATAGTCGATGTGACAAAATTTTACAAAGTTTTGATTATGGACGGACACGAAAGACCCCACACGGCTACTTGGGCTCACCTTAAAATTCAATGGGGAATAGTTTTATTAGCCAATGTATTTGAATTTTATAAAAGAAAATCCATTCGTTAATTTCTCACATTACACAATCATACAAAAAAAAATTATTATTTTGTTTTGAAAAAAATAAAAAAAGAGAAACATTAGAGGCGACAACAACAATAAGAATGAATATTTTTCTATGTCATCTAACTATGAAACAGAATTTGTCTTTTTTGTTTGCATAAAAAAGCTCAAACTAAAAATATGAAAAATTAAAAGGAAACTAACAATACTCGATTATTTACATGTTGTACACAAACATGTGGATTGACTTTAATATATTGGTTTGAAATTTTCAAATATCATTTTACAAAAAAGTTGGTAATATCCATATTATATATAAAAAAGAATATATTGTAACAAGCATAAAAATAGCCGCCTCTTTTTCAGATATTGTTGTTTAATTATTTATAGTTTTAAAACTGCAAATAAAAGAAACTAGTGTAGAGTCCTGAAAGAATCCCTATTTAAATCATATTATAAAGGGAAAATAAATAATGATTCTTATTTTTCACGAATAATGTGGAAACCGAGTTGCCTTAGAGTTAGAGGTGAATTGATGCTAACCTACGTGGAAAATTTTGAGGTATTTATTGATCGTGGAAGCCATTAACACAAGGTCGGTCCTTCAGTCATATCCTCAATTCTTTATATCCAACATTAAAAAAAATTGAATGAAAAAGTATTAAATCTCATATTATTATTTATATCCAAACTTTTCAGTTTTCATCAATTAAATGTGGTTGCCACTTTATTTTTGGTAAAGTATATAGTAGCCACTTTGTTAGGCTGAAATTCGGATAGCCCAACAAAAAAGTTTGGTCCATGGGCATTCCATCCTTTAAGAGTCTTTAAACAATCGGTTTAAATATGTGTATACATTATATATATATATATATATTATAAAATATAATGTTATAGATTAGTATATATAAATATGTATATAACTTAAAAGAAGAGCCCTTTTTTAAAGAGAAAGAGGGTTGAAAATTTTTGGTAATTCCCGAAAGAACAAACATAGCTTTTGGAGTCAAAGCTTTAGCCACTTAAAACTTGGACCCTCATCTTTTACGAGCAAAAGAAAGTGAAAAACTAAAGCCCCATTGAAACATTTTACAAGCAAAAAATAGTACACTGTCGTATTTAATTATTTATGATTGGAGTTTCACGTTCTCTATATATCGTTTTTAAAAAAACGTAGACATACAGAAACTTGTTTGGCTAATTGGTATACTGATTTTTAAGGTAACACCAAGGCGATACATAAATATTATTTTTTTACTGTTAAATAATAATTTCGGAATTGGGTTTAGTTAAATAAACACGTTTATGTTGGTTTTTTAAAAAATATTTTTAATTATTTTTTGTCATGTTTCCTTTGCACACCAATTGGGCTTTTGTCTCGTGGAAGAACCCAAAGTTATCTTTTTTTTTTAGGACAAGACCCAATTCTCTGTCTTTCTCTCCTTTGTAGCACGTAAACGTTTCCTTTTGTCATTCTTTTCTTTTCTTTTTTTTTTAAATCTTTTCCTCTTTTGTTTTTTTCCCTCTTCTTTTTTAAACTTTATATTTTTATATTTAATTATGAATTTAAATTTTGGGAATTTGGGGTCTCTTTTTGGAAGTTTCTCGTCACCATCGTTTCCTCTTCTGCTGCTTTCAATCACATCAATGGATTACGCCAACTCAGTTTACCCTCTCTGAAACTTCCCCACGCGCCACTTTCTGCATTCACAGTACAATTCAGTAACAAAAACAATGAAAAAAAACAAATAAATAATATATTATTTTGAGTAAATTTGCCCAAATGTATCGTTTTTATTTTTTATTTATAAAAGATGCATGATTACAATATATATATATAGATAATTCAAATAGTATTTATAATTTTTTTGTTTTATTTACAGAAGATGTATGACGTTTGCAAAGATGCGTGAACCAAAGAAAAACAATTATTCCAACTATTTTGTTATTCAAATTATATATATATATATATATGACAAATATAAACCAAATAATATTATGAAGAAATATTACTTTACTTGGGTTCAAATAAAGAATCCTCTAAACAAAATTATAAAAAAAATTACAGAGGATATAGAAATGATCTTGAAACTCTTTTATACATATATTACCCATTTGATTTATCTTTGTTTTATTGGTTATTTTATTATTAACTTTGGCGCGTGGAGCAAATACACGCGCGTGTTATGAAAAAAAATCTAAAAACTTGGCAAAATGGGTTGAGCAAGAATCTAAAAAAAATTACAAAATCTTAATAGAGAAAAAAAAATCTGGACATCTGAACAAAAAAACAGAACCAGAGCATCTGTTCTGCACTGTCATCTCTCTCTAGCCTGCATCAGTGTAACTTTGTAGACTCTGGCTTTGTCACGTGATGACTGTACCGCCACGTCATCACCTCCGTGTGTGAAAAAATATAGGATTTTTGTCCTAATATGAACCCCCCCTCCTATTTTAAATTTTAATTACAACCATCCATATAATTAAAAAAAAAAAAAAAAAGGATACAGGGGGACCTGTTTTTTTTTTCCTTTTAAGACATAAATAAACAAATGGAATCAAAACAATGGATAGAACAAATATTTTCAAAGTAAAACCAAAAAAAGGAGAAAAAAGAAAAGAAAAGAGAGGAATCCGAAAATCAAAAGGAGGAAAAAAGAAAGTAAATAAAAAGCTAAGAAAATTTAATAAAAAAAAAAAGACAGGACCATTGAAACACAATTCCTGAAGCTCTCTATCTCTCCTTTTATATACTAAACCCTAATCACCATTACCGTTGACAAATCAAGCTCTCTCTCTATGGAATCTCTTAGCTTCATGAAGTTCTGGCGAGCAAACGGCAGAGCTCGCCGGGAAATCAGGATCTCCGACGCAGCCACCAGTTCCTCCGCCGCATTGGACGATGACGAAGTGGAACTCGCCGAGGGAGATGACTCTTTCTTCGAGCTCGAGCTCTCCCCCTCCGATTTCTCCCTCGAGGACAAGAAGATCGCGGAAGAGTCGACGAAACCAGACAAAACGGAAGCATCGACGACGAAGAAGACGCCGTGTTCTGTCTCTTCCACCGACCATTTCTCCAAGAACAAAGTCATCCCCGTCGAAATCGGTCCAAAGCCACATTCTCCGATTGCCCTCTTGAAATCGGCCCCGAAGTTCCGAGCTTTCTCCTTCAAGAAGCCGAAGTCAAAGTCAACGCCGGAGACCGGAGACGGCAAAGAGACGAGTTTCCGGAAAACGGCAGGAATTGCAAGGCCGCGTCACGGAGACGGCACGGTGTCCGAGGACGCCGCGCCATCTGTTTCTTCCTCGTCGAAGCGGTTCTTCAGTCTGATAAAGCCACTGTACGCAATGACGGCGAAGAAACAGAGCGTGAAGGAGAACGGTTCATCTCCGGCGTCTTCTCCGGCGATGGAGAAACAGAGAAGCAATGTGTCGGCGGGGATTCGGATCGTCCGGCGACATCTGGGGAAGAGCCGGTCGGCGTCTGCGGCCGTCGGAGCGATGTCTCCGGCGAACAGAGTAGACGAGTCGTTGCAGATTCAGCAAGATGGGATTCAGAGCGCCATTCTTCACTGCAAGAGGTCCTTCCACGGCTCAAGAGGTAAAAAAACAGATCCATGAAACCAGATTTTCTTCGGATTCGAGATGGGTTTTGCTCGAAACTCAATCGGGTTTTCCTCTGATTTCAGAGTCGTCACTGTTATCGAGATCAACGAGCGATTCTTCTTCACGGGAGAAACTGAGCACGTCGTCATCTGAAGGTATATATATATATATGAATCGACGCTGCATTTTCCCACTCAATCATATTTTCTTTAACGGAATAATTCAAATCTGATTATTTTTTTTTTAAAAAACATCTTGTGTTTTATTTCAGGTTCTTATTTGTTTTCAAGCATCGCAAGCGATTCAATGTCGGAGAATCAACGTGTGACATGAAGAGTCTCTGTTCTTGTTCTCGCGCTTCGATCAAGGAACATCACCAGGACATCACATATTAGGTTTTGTGTTTTAAAAACACAGAAATTAGATTAGGGAAAATTTCAGTGTATTTCTTTTTTGGATTTTGTATTTAAAATATTAAATGGAAATTTAAAACGATGATGACGTTGCGGAGAGGACTTTTCTGCAGAAAAACCAGATTCATAGACGCCTTCGTTGTTTGCTTGTACAGTGATGGATCATTATGATACATCTGAAACCTGAATAATATTAAATTATTATTATATAATAATCGTTATTTGATATATTTGAACCTGCTGGTATTTAAATCATTTTATTATTTGTCTTTTTTCCCTTAACGTGTAAAACTTTCGGTGGATACTACGAATTTAAGCAGTAAAAAAAATATGTGAAAAGACGAGACAGTCTCTGGTCCGTTATTTTCACTTAGTTTCTCGCTGCCTTTTTACTTTTAATTTTTTAGAATATGTGTAAGGACTAATATATCTGTAATATAATATTAATATCGGTATATTTGTCTGCCTGTTATAAAAATATTGTGTATTTATTCACTTTGAAAGTTTCAGATTCCTGGCGGCAACGTGTTTCTAGGTTAATCACAAATAACAAATATCGATTTATAATCCAAGATTGGATGGCAAGACTTTTTTTTTTCAATTTAGATTCGAATATTTATTTGGAAAGAATTATTTAACTGAATTAAAGAGGTGTATTTACCTGAATTTTCCGGTATAATAAATATATCAATTCATATATGAAAATGTAAGATTCTATATATGAAAACTGTTAGACTCTAATTTTGGAGTACTTCTTCAATTTAGATACTTTTAATAATTTATAATTTATTTTTAAATTGTTTTATATTTTATTTGAAATGACTCATTTAAACATATTAAAAAGTTATATTCAAGTTTTAAAATTAGATTTAGTTTATATACAATTTATGTTTTTAATAAAAAAAAAGATTCAAATTTGATCATAATAAAAAAAAGAGAGATATATATATATATATATAACTTATCAATTTTTTCATAATTAAAAAGAGTTTAATAAAATAGGATAAATATATTAGTTCTAAAATTTCAAAAATTTAATTAAAAAAATGAATATATGTTTTTCAAATTACAAATTTTGAAAAGAAAATTGAACTAAAATAAAAGATAACTATAATGGAGAAAAAAAAATACGTGTTTTTCACAAGGATGTGAACTTGATTTTTGCACCATGCAAATTCAGAGAAAATCGTCCACCACCTCATTCTCCAGTTTAAGAAAATGAAATAATATTTGTCAAAATCATTGGACTCTCCCCAAACATGTGGATCTAAACGATTTTTGTCGATGACAAAAAAAAAAAAATTGGACATTTGCGTCTTCCTCGTCCAATCAGTTCAATGATTTATATTAATTTCCCGACATTTTATATCAACTGTCTACATATATCTGATTTTTTTTTTCTTTTTCTTTTTCCATCCAAATGCTTGGAATAATTAAACATAAATTCGAAGCGAAATTAATAGAGATAGATTCAGGATTATCACTAAATGTATTAAATAAGCACATTTATTATCAATTATTCACAACCTAAATTTCCAATTTGTTTGCCGAGTAATTTCGGTAAACATCTGATAATCTATTTTTTGTTTAATATATATATATATATATATATATATATATATATATATCAATATACATGCGGTATACATTAGTTATAGATAAATTGGGCTCTACATATATGGGTTCCGTACGAGTTAAAATCGGAAGAAAAAAGAGTTTTTCTCAAAAATTATATTTATTGTATTTGTTATGTTAGTACAATTTAATTCTCCTGATAATATTTATTTTTAATAAATTTCTATTTTCATTCCTTTTCAATTTTTTTTTTATATTTAATAATATTTTATTAATTTAATTTAAAATTTATATTAAACTAATTTTCAAAAAATTGAATTCGAATACAACTACATTATATTTCATTCAATTTAATTAGATTTCCTTAGAAAATTACTAGATAATTTTTCAAGTTATTCGATGGGAATGACGTGAGTATAACGTCATAGGACAAACCCTAAATGCGAAAAAAAGGGGAAAAAATCGGAGAGAATGAAATATTGGAGGACAATAAATGCAAAGTCTGAAAATTCCGAGATAGAAAAAAAAAAAAAAGAGGTTGCCATTATGGGTGTGTGGTAGGTTTCGATCATAAATATATTATCGCATTAGCAATCGGTTTTCGACCTCTTAACCCATTTGTTTCTATTATTATATTTTCCTTCTCACTAATTTATTTCGATTCCATATTTATATGTTGTTTTGTTATAAATAACAAACAGGAATAAAATAAAATATTATTTTCATATAATTTCCGGGAAATTTAGGAAGAATTCGGGGTAAGAAATAGGAAGTAGCATGCAAAGTGATTGGTCTGAAGTCCACAAATATATGATGGCCACTCAAATGAAAATTTGACCAAATAATATATATATATATATATATATATATCCCTATTATTCCTCTCCTTTGTATTCATTTGCTTGAATGGAAAACGTCTTCTACTATATTTAAATATTAGTACAAGGAAAACTCCTAAGATAAATTGGTTGAGTATTAGAATCTTTAATCTTAAAGTTTGGATTCAAATTCTCTTAACCTCTTTATTTATAAATCTGTTAGGTACGGACAATCTAGATTGGTTTATATCTCTCGTGTGGTTTATATGCTATTATACGAAAGTAAAACGGTCTCCCGTGTTTATCCAAAGGATAACGGCTACGATGTTAAAACAAAGTACAATTTCCCCTATTCACTAATCACAACTATTCTTTTATGTGCCAAATGACGATAATTTAATAATATTTTATTTCAACCATTGTTTTTAAAATTTTATATTGGTCTTAGAAAAAAAATAAATACGTAATATGTTTTAGTTTTGTTTAGCTTGAAATATTCATATGGTTCCTTTGTCTTGAAATAAAGGTCAACATGCAATGGATCAGTCTCGTAACATTCCGTGCATGTATAGATACACAGCATCTGCTCCATCGACGGCGGAGATAATGCCACGTGGCGAGTTAAGAAGACGCCACCAGGGGAAAATACGTTGCACCTCTCCACCGTTAAGGTCGGGAAGAAAGAAATAGAAGAGAAACAGAGACACGACACCGTATTTCACTACTACACTTCAAACTGGGGCAATTGCAAAAATACCCTTAAATGTCGATTTCACTTACAGCCCATACCCTCGCACAGTAACAAAAAAACGGCAACATCAGATATACCCTTATAAATGTAGAATCCCTATAATACCCTTCCTTTATTTATATAATATTATAATATACTAAAATAAATAAAATATAGATCTACTTTTTACCTCATTTTCTCTCTCCTCTTTATCGTTCTCTCCCGCCATACATCGCGTTCTCTCTCTTCGAGTTTTTCTTCTTCTCTCTCTTGAATGTCTCTTCTCCGGCGCGATTTTCTGGCAAATTTGCTGCGAGAAACAAGTGAAATCTCCAAGAAACTCATCCAATAAACGTAGATCCCGTTAATAGGTAAGTTTTTTTTAAAGCCGATATATATTTTGGGTATTTAGGGTTTTTTAATTTTCGTATTTGTATAATATAGATGAGTCAAATGTAATATATATATATATATATATATCAGTTAAACTGGTCAAATTAACTCGTCACATTGGTGAAAGTGACCATTTTGTCAAACTCGTCAAACTCGTCAAACTCGTCAAAC